GTTCAGAAGTAATCATGCCCGATCTGACGGAAGCCTGGAAGTGAGTGTACGAGGTGGTTATAAAAGGCTCCTACCCCCCCAGGAACGAGGTATGCTAACTTTTGCGCTATCTGGTCTATCTTGCCTTTGAAAGACTAACTTGAGCTTCGGAGCCCTTACGCCGGGTTCTCCCCGGAGCTTCTCTTCACCCTCCGTTTCAGGTCCCTGCCGCCTAGTTTAGAGGCAAGATTGTTGACAGCTAAGACCAGCCGGATCGTGCATCATCAATACTTCTACCGGTATGCAGTCCTTATAGAATGGTTCCACCTATTCCCTTGATGTTGATACATCTAAACTAATCAAACCACACCATTAAACTTCAGACACATAAAACAGCTATCCATAAAGTTTCAACCCTAGATTCCCCCATTTGCCTGTCCATTAAACAAGTATTCTGTTCCAAAATATCTCGTTGACCTAAATTTCTACGATCTTGACCCCCTTCAACCAATTAGACATCACCATCATATGCCAAACACATCCAAACACCCACCTATAAAATTTCATCCCAAAGAACCTTCATTTACCCTTCAATCACACCAAGATTTTGTTTCAAGCCCTGTAAAATTTCACCTTACCAATTAATGGAGCACGATCTGGATGCTCCTAGCTGGAGGATGATCTAGAACTTGGCTGCATGGCGAGTTGGTTCGGTCTGCAAAACAGTGAGCTCAGAGAACCCGGGGTGGCTAACCCGGTGAGGTCGCTACAATACTTAAATTAGCATTGCGAGTTGAAAGTTTAATGATAAGTGTACTAGTGAGCAAATAATCGTGTGTGCCTGAGTCTTGGGGGTTGATGTCCTTATATAGGCAATGTTTGGCGTAGGCTTCACGCACTGCATCCGAGATTTTCGGGAAGTCATGATTAATCGTTCTGAGATCCTTGGAGGTAACCGCCATGCACGTTGACCATCCTCTAAATATCCGGTACGTGAACCAACTTCCAAGAAATCTGGGAACGTTAGGATATGCATGTCGAATTTGTCAATGAGCACATCTCGCAGGTTACCACCTGCTCCTCTGTCAGGTCGACATGCCCTCGAGGTAGGTCGCTCCTTGCATCGAGGTTACTTCGGCCAATGACGAGGTGTTATAGGTCGGTCCTGGATGAGACGCTACAAGCTGACCTAAATTGTGGTCGAGGTCGCCAGGTGGGCGACAAAGGCAGGTCACCAGGTCGGCAACATATGCAAGTCTCCAAGTCGGTGACAAACGTAGGTTGCCAGGTCGGTGGCAAAGACAAGTCGCCAGGTTGGGGCGAAGATGAACTAAGATCTGAGACTCCAAAACATCACTTAGGTGGTGCTTAGGTGTCTTCCAGCTGTTCCAAGATGCTATGTGTCACGATGTGAGATTTCGCTTAGGAGGGCCAAATCTTCCCTCATCACCAATCATCTCAAATTACCAAAAAATCCTACATTGTGAGTATTCACCCAAAACAAACCTTATTTACCACTTGATCATAAAAATATTCCATTTTGAACCTCCGCATTAACCGAATCAAGCCATTTCCAAATCTTCCTGATCCAGGACCATTTGGCCCAATACGACCCCACCAATCAACTTAGAATGTCCAAAAACCCCACCCTTTGAAATTTCATCCAAGAATACCCTCATTTGTCGTCCAATCTAAAAAGATTCCATTTTAGGCGATCTCATTGACCCGCACATGTACGACCCCACTTCACGGTCAAGCCCATCTCAATCCTCCATTTTTTGGCCCCAAAATCCCCACCGTTGAACCATAAGACCTGTTTTGCCCATTTTCTCAAATTTACCAAAATACCCCCTTCGAAACCCTAAAATTACCAAACTGATACTAGCATTATTATAAATATAAATCCTTCATTCGAGCTAATCATAAATCAGAAATTTCCATCATCTTCTACCTTCAAACCTAGAAGCAGAGCAGCGGCGACTCTAATTCCCCAAACCTCCAATTGTTCTCTCTCCTTTTCCCTTCCTTATTCTTTCTTCTTTCTTCTTCTTCTTCAAACCCCATCATTTCCTCCATTCCCTCTCCCTGCTTCCATTACCGCCACTACAATCGGCAGAATCAAACGACAGCGGCGGCGAAACCCCCCTCTCAGTCCAATCCCTTCCCCTTCTCTCACTCTCTTCCATTTCTATTTTTTCTTCTTCTTCCTCTCTCCCCACCTCCTTCTTTCTCTCATTCTTTCACCCACGCTAGGCCATCGATAATGTACTTGTTCGGATCATGGCTGAGCTAGTCCTGCGAGACATGTGGCCGCCCAGCTATCGCCCTACCACGTCACCCTAGCTTGGCCACGACGGCATAGATCGGTCGAGCTATACTATTACTGTGGTCCCACGTCTTATCCTTCCAACCACGTCAACTACATGTCATGCGGATGAGCACAACTACAGATAAGGAGGAGTAAGGAAAGACGACTCCGCTGGGGAATGGGACTCTATCCCGAGTACCTCAGTGGCTAACCTCACCCCGACAACCCCAGAAGCCCAATCCCACTAGGACACGGATCTTCGGCTATAAAAAAGGCACCCCATGCTCGACGTAAGGATCCAACTTCTAAGACCAGTACTGCGACTTAGCTCAAACCAACATCCTCATAGCTCAACCCGACCACCAACCACCTCTTACTGACTTGAGTGTCGGAGTACTTACCCGGGGATAACTCCTCGGGCCTCTGACTTCTTTCTCGATCATAGGTCTTGAAGCGCGACCTCGTCCGTGTAGCTTGGCCTCACCTTGTCAGCAATGACTATCTGGTTGCTCTTCTCAATTCGTGCACCACCTCGGATTGAGCAGTATCAGATTGGCACCGTCTGTGGGAAAAGTACAAAAAGCCACCATGAAAATCTTTCCTTACCGCACAATCAAGAAAGTGATCAAGATGCCCAAGAATCAGTCCAAGCGTTCAGCAGGCCGATCCCCGTCTCGGGAATCTCACCATTGCAGTTATCTGCATCGAGAAATTCCACCGCTCCCAGCCGCTGTTGATCCTGAGCAATTCCGAGCAATGCAAGAAAAAGTCGACAAGATCTTCGAAATGATGTAGAACCTAGGACCCGCAGCACCGCCTAGCAAGACCGTCCCCCCTTACGCACCGACGTGCACGAAGGATGATCATCATCCCGAGGACCCCAAAGCGCATCGAGTAGACAAGGGCATAGCACGGTCCAACTAAGAAAAGTGGGATACGACAAGAAGGTCGGCCCCCTTCGTCCGCTCTCAATAGCAGGAGGTACCAAACCACACGGATCCCGCCCAAAGAGAGGCTTGGCAGACGGACGCCACCTCACGTGGTCTCCGTCGCCAAGTCCAGCTCCGTGAAGGACCGCGCAGTGTGCCCCAAGAAGGAAAGGGCGACGCACACTACGGCTCCAAACTAAAGGGATGACGAGATTCGAGAACTTCGCCAGCGCTTAGAGGAGTTAGAGCATAGCCAGAGAAGCACGGCGCCAGCTGAAGATCAGCCCGCACCACCACTCGTGCCATGGCCAAGAAGCCACCCTTCACCCAAGAAATTGTGGACGAGGTACCTCCCACATGATGGCGGGCACTCCATCTTGACAAGTACGATGGAAACATTGATCCCGCTGACCATATCAAAGCATTAAAGGCTCAATTAGTGTTGGATGGATCCTCCGAGGGCTTGATGTGCAAAATCTTAGTGGCCACTCTCGAAAGTTCAGCCCTAACCTGGTATTCCTCCCTACCCCCACGCTCAATAGCGTCGTGGGAGCAGCTGGAGACCCAGTTCCACGCTCAGTTCACAACTAGTCAAAAGCATTGGAAAACCTCGGCTAGCCTCATGCAGGTATGGCAGAAGAAAAACAAGTCCCTCAAAGACTATTTGGCTAGATTCAACAAGGAAGCACTACAGGTTAGGAACTTGAATCAGTCTATGGCTGTCACCGCTATCCAGCATGGCCTAGCCCCATTCAACTTTTCCATCTTTAAAAACCCTCCGCAAACCCTGGCTGCGTTGATGAGCCATGCGCAAAAGTATAACAATGCAGAAGAAGTGCAGACACAACTACAGGATGAGGAAGAGGGGCCTGACAAGAGGAGGAGAGAAAGTCAGAAAGATCAGACCGATACCATAAGAGGCAAGACTGCCGACCCGACCATAGAATACGGACACCCCCACCGACCTATCGGAACTTCACGTTACTCAATATGCCGTGGTTTGAAGTCCTGATGCAAATCCACGACCGTAACTACATTCTTTGGCACGAGAAGATGAAAACGCAAAGCAACAAGAGGAATCACGACAAATATTGCGATTTCTATAGAGATCAAGGCCACGATACAGAGAACTGCTTCGACCTACGCAACCACATTGAAGACCGAATCAAGCGCGGATACCTCGGTGGATTCATCAAGAGCGAGAAGTCGGCACAGGAAGAAAAACACACAGAGGATGCTCGACCGTCGCCCCGAACTCCCCCTACTGGTGTGATTCACGTCATATCAGGTGGAGTCGCCGCAGGAGTGGAGAGTAGCTCAGGGCGCAAAAAGTATGTGCGACTATGCAAGATCGACAACCGGGGGAACAAGAAGAAGCGCGACAACGTTCACCGACGATGACCTCCGGGGGTTCAAACCCCGCATGACGATGCCTTGGTCATCACGGCCGAGGTGGCCAACCTAGAAATAAGACAAATCCCGGTTGACATGGGTAACTTCGCCAATTTACTCTTCGAGGACGTGTTCAAAAAGCTCGGCATCGACAAAGAGCGGCTCACCCTCGTCAACACTCCCCTAATGGGCTTCTCTAGGGAGTCCCTCCTGCCCACTTGGAGAATAACTCTTCCCCTACACCATGGTGAACTTCACTGTGGTTCGTTGCCCCTCTTCGTACAATGCCATCCCTGGTTGGCCGACCCTTAATGCTCTGCAAGCTACAGTCTCCACATTCCATCTCGTTATGAAGTTCCCCACCGAATATGGTATAGGGGTAGCACGTGGAGATCAAAGAACCGTGCGGCAGTGCTACTTGCTCTCCGGCCGAGGACCATAGTCGGCCGCAGAAACACTAATGACAGAAGCTTATGACTTCCGAGATGAAGTGAGGACACAGCGCGGCCAACCTATCGAAAACCTCATCCAGGTATCGCTTAAGGAAGGAGACCCCGAGAGGACAGTCCAGGTTGGCTCTCTCTTAAATGACTACCTCCGGGAAGAGCTTGTACAGTTACTGAGAGACCACGCCGATGTATTTGCCTGCTCGGTAGCAGATATGCCGAGGATTGACCCTGAAGTCATCACACACCATTTGAATGCCGACCCCCGCTACCGACCTGTCAAGCAGAGGAAGAGGAGTTTCGCAACAAAACGGTGGCAGGTGATTGCAGATGAACTACAAAAGCTACTCGGCGCCGACTTCATTCGGCAGGTCAAGTATCTCGACTGATCGACCAATGTAGTAATGGTGAAAAAAGCCAACGGGAAGAGGAGAACAGGTATCAACTTCACCGACCTAAACAAGGTCTGCCCCAAAGACAGCTTTCCTCTACCAAGGATCGACCAACTTGTCGATGCAACAGCGAGCCATGAACTCCTAAACTTTAAGGATGCCTTCTCAGGGTACAATCAGATCCGAATGCATCCCAATGACCAGAAGAATAACATCCTTTATAACCGACCACGGCTTGTATTGCTACAAGGTCATGCCCTTTGGCCTCAAGAACGTCGGCGCCACTTACCAACGACTGGTGAAGGAGGTGTTCAAAGATTAGCTCGGTCGAAAATGTAGAGGCATATGTCGATGACATGCTAGTGAAGAGCAAGAAGGTCGAGCCACACCTTGCCAACCTAAAGGAAGTCTTCAATACCATTAGGAAGTATAAGATGAAACTGAACTCGACCAAATGTGCTTTCGGGGTCGACTCGGGTAAATTCGTAGGGTTCATGGTGACGAAAAGGGGGATTGAGGCAAACCCAGAGAAAATACAGGTCATCCTCGACATGCAATCCCCCCGAACCTAGAAAGATGAACAACGGCTCGCCGAAAGAATTGCCGCCCTTAGCAGGTTCATGTCCAAATCCGCGTACTGGTGTCTACCCTTCTTCAAATCCCTCATACAACCGAAGGACTTCCAATGGACCAAGGAATGTGAACGGTCCTTTCAAGAACTAAAGAGGTACCTAAGTTCGTTACCTCTCCTCACCAAGTTGAGCCCAGGGGATGAGCTATTGCTCTACCTCTTAGCCGAGGATGAGGTCATCAGCTCGGTACTAGTCAAGGAGGAAGACCGGGTACAGAGGCTGATTTATTATACCAGTAAAGTCCTTGGCGGCATAGAAACCTGGTACTCCAACTTAGAGAAAATGACTCTAGCTTTGGCAAGTCCTCCAAAGGCTGGAAGCATCTGGCTGCTTGATCAATTGGAGTGTGGAGTTAAGTGAGTTCGACATCGAGCATATACCCCGATCGGCGATCAAAGCTCAATCCCTAGCCGACTTCATTGCTGAATGCATGTTCACCACCGAGGATCCTACCACGCCACCGCAAATATGGACCTTACACGTAGACGGCTCATCCAATCAGCAAGGCAGTGGAGCTAGTCTTATTCTCCTCAGCCCGGATGACACGGTGTTAGAGACAACGAGGCTGAGTATGAGACTTTGATCGCCGGGCTACACCTCACCCTAGACTGTAGGAGCTCGAAGAATAGAAGCCTCTAGTGACTCTCAACTAGTAGTCAACCAGATCCATGGACAATTTAAGACGAGAACGCCAACAATGGCTAGTTACCTACAGAAGGTGCAGGAGCTCATCCACCGACCTGAGCACTTCAACATCTAGCAAATTCCTCGAGTCAAGAACATAAGAACCGATGCACTATCCAAGTTGACCAGCTCCCCGAGAACCAACCTCAGCAAAACAACATGGTTGGACACCCTAGCCCAGCCGAGCATCATGCAGACAACTCTCCTCGTCCTCCCGATACAGCATGACCCATCCTGGATGGACCCTATAACATAGTACCTCCGCAAAGGCACACTTCCAGAAAATCGAACAGAAGCAAAGAAGCTCCAGCACAAATAAGCTCAGTACTGCCTTATCTAGGGTCAACTCTACCACCACTCACCATCTATACCCTACCTAAAATGCCTCTCCTCATCCGAGGCAGACTATGTCCTTAGGGAGATCCACGAAGGCATTTGCAGAGACCATCCTGTCACACGTACGTTGGCACAGAAGGCACTCCGGCAAGGTTGTTTCTGACCGACGATGAAACGGGATGCGACCTAGTTGGTTCAAAGATGCGACAATTGCCAACGACACTCCAGTCTCCACCAACAACATGTAGTCCTCCTGAAGCCAATCACTAGCCCGTGGTCATTCGCGCAATGGAGGATGGACATCCTCGCTCGCTTTCCCATAGCGGTTGCTCAGAAGAAGTTCCTCCTGGTGACAGTGGATTATTTCACCAAATGGGAAAAAGTCAAAGCTCTAGCACGCATTACTATGCATAATGCCCGAAACTTTTTCTGACAAAGTATTGTTTGTCAATTCGGTATACCATGCATCCTCATCACAAATAACGGGACACAATTCACCGACCGAAAGTTTGAAGCCCTCTACTCCGACCTAAAAATTGACCACCGAACCACGGCTATACACCAACCCCAAAGCAATGGGTAGACCGAGGTGACCAACTGAACCTTGTTGCATGACCTGAAGACTCGACTGGACCAGGCTAAGGGGAGGTGGGCCGAGGAACTGCCGATCATACTTTGGGCATATAGGATTACTCCGCTCGCAGCCATTACTGAGACCCCCTTTAGCTTGACCTACGAAGCCGAGGCTATGGTTCCTATAGAGATTGGCTCCCCAACCCTCCGGACCGAGCTCTTTGATGAGGACCAGAATGACGAAGACCTCTGCGCAGAGTTAGACCTGATAGAGGAAGCCTGGGAATGAGCATATGTCAGCATGGTAGCATAGTAGCAAAGGATGGAGAAGTACTACGACACTAAAGTCAGAAGACGCGAATTCAAGACTGGCGACCTCGTCCTCCGCAAAGTCATAGTACCAGCACCCGAAGAAGGAAAGCTTGGATCGAATTGGGAAGGGCAGTATAAAGTCACCAAGGTCCTTGGCCTAGGCCCCTATAGGCTCGAAGACCTGGATGGCCGACCAATATTAAGGTGTTGGAACTTGGAAAATCTCAGGATGTACAACCAATAGACTTGCAAGCAATAAAAGTTTCCTTTCTTTCAAACTACAGCTTTGACCCCAAGACGCGTGCACGCCCACCGCACACACCACAACACACATGCTGAGCCGCACTGCCAACTGAGTTGACTCCGCCGATTCCCGAACGGATGAGCCCATTACGCTCAGCTCGACAGTGTATCGCCGCCTAAGCTACCCAACTCAGCTGACAACGGCCGAGCCTAAACGTGGAGGAAGAACGCCCCCGCCCACCAAGGCCTGAGGGCGGTTGAGAAATTCCGCCCAATCACCGGCTTAATGGCTGAGCTAGCTAGGAAATGGCTAGCCCTAGAAGGGACCCAAAGGCTTATGAAACTGAAAACTAAGGGTTTCATGGCTGAGAACTCAGAACCGAAAGATCTCGGGCAACTATACCTCGGTCGGCACAAGACAAGGGATGCCGAGGCATAACCCGGCCGGCTATGCCTCGACCAACTACACCACGGTCAGCACAAGATTGGGGATGCCGAAGTGTAGCCCAGTCGGCTATGCCTCGACCAATGAACTAAAATCATAGAAATACAAAGAAGTTGCCCATGGCACAACCAACCCTGGCCCGCGTAGTAGCCCGACCGGCCACACCCGGCCAATAGAAAATGGTACAATAAGGCCAACAGAATTGTACAATAAGATGTTGAGGCATAACCCAACCCGATACACACAATAGCCCGACCAGACAAGCCTCGGCTGGGAAAAGAAAAATGCACTAGGATAGCAACATATGTGCAGACAAAAGAAACACTAAATATTCAACTCAAAATCGTTCATTACATCACTTGAGGCTCGTTATACCGAGAACAAGAGAAAAAAAAACAGAAAAAAAAGAGAGAGAAGGCAACTGCTCAATCCTCGGCGGTAAAGTCAACAGCACCATCAACGGCTTCGACCTCAACATTATCTCCCTCGGCGGATCCTTGCGGAGAATCTGGATCGAAAGCACCCAAACCCTGCAACTCATCGGCCAACTCCATATGGCGGCAAAGGATCCTTCGACAAAAGAGGTTTAACCCAGCCGCAAAGGAAGCTTCGGCGTATTCATCCATTTGCAGTTGTATCTCCTCCGATGCCTTGTACTGGTTTACTGCCTCCTCGGCAGCCTCCTGCCTGAACTTGTCTCACTCCGCCTTAAGCTCAGCGATCTCTCACTTCAGCTTCGAACAAGACTGGCCTGCTCGGCCATCTGTACCTTTAGCTCGGCCACCTCCCTCTCAAGAGCGGTCAATCACTCCCCAGCAGCCTGCAACTCAGCCAATTGGGCCATTGGCTGCAAATACTTAGAGTGTTCCCGTTTACACGATGACCGAAGGTCTCAAAGATGATCAACCGGCGCGACTGCCGCACAAGCATTCTATAGACGAACACG